CTCCCCAAGGCCGCCGCCGTCCTTCACAACACCTTCGAGGGCCTTGACCCGGCCATCGACGCCCACTTCTCAGCCACATTCTCCAGGAGCCTGCCCGTCGGCCCCCTCCATCTTCTCGCCCCGCCCGCCCACCCGACGCCGGACCCGAACCACTGCCTCCCCTGGCTCGACCGCCACGCGCCCGCCACCGTGGCTTACGTCAGCTTCGGCTCCTTCATGGCCCCGCCGCCTGCCGAGATGACCGAGCTGGCTGAGGGGTTGGAGGCCAGCGGGGCGGCGTTCCTCTGGTCGCTCAGAGACGAGGTCATGGGGCTCCTGCCGCCGGGGTTCTCCGAACGAACCAAGGGGAGGGGCCTGGTGGTGAGCTGGGCGCCGCAGCTGGACATCCTGCGGCACGCTGCGGTGGGAGCCATCGTGATGCACTGTGGGTGGAACTCGGTGGTGGAGGCCATCACCGCCGGGGTGCCAATGGTGTGCCGGCCCTTCTTCGGGGACCAGAGGCTGAACGCGAGGTTCATCTTCCAGGTGTGGGAGATCGGAGTCGAATTCGAAGGCGGAGTGATGACGAAGGAGGGAGTGGTGAGGGCTCTGGAGGCGGTGTTGAAGGGCGAGGAGGGGAAGCGGATGAGAGTCAAAGCGGGCGAGCTCAAGGCCATAGCGACGCGGGCAGTGCAGCCCGGTGGTAGCTCGTCGGTCAACTTCAACAGCTTCTTGGATCTCGTTTGATGTGACAATGAAATCAATTAGAGCCAAATAAGCCTAACATGCTGATGTGCTCCATTTCACAACGTTAGTTTAAGCCAATTTAGCTTCTTCATCACGAGCAGAATGAAGTTTGTGCTGTGCTAAGTTTCACTTTAAATTTGAGGCTTTTTTTTTTCTTTTTAAAAGCCCAGCATTAAGTTTCACTTGAAACTTAAGTTTTCAAAATAGTATGGGAACTTTTTAATAATTTTTTAAATTATATAACTTTATATAAGAAGCTTAGTGTTAGGTATCTAATTATAAATTTTTAAAATTTATATTAAAACTTGAGAAAGGTTTCTGAATATTTTTATTCTCATCATCAAATTAGTATATATATATATATATAGTAATTATAATGGATACTAAGAAATAATGTTATTTTTGTTGCATGCTTGTCACCTTTCATTATTAAGATTTAACTAAACACTAATAATTATATAACAAAAATTAAATGCTTACCTTAATAACTACTTTTACTACCTTATGTCAGACACTATATACAGAGAGGGTGTCTACTTATGTTTGCTCTATACTTAGATACCTAATGTTATTTTTGTTGCATGTCTGTCACATTGCATCATTAAAATTTAGTTAAATACTAATAATTAGATAATAAAAAAAGTTAAAAATTAACTAATTAATATTTTTTTATTATATATGAGAGAGAGGGGGGGAAGTGAAGGAGAAGAAGAGACAGAAGAGAATGGTGCTTAGTTTTGACATAAGCATTTGGACTAATTCAAGATTTTCTGACAAGTGTTTTATCTGATCAAAAAGTAAACTGATCTGATCTCAGTTTGCTTTCTTCTTTTTAATGAGTAATTAATAAAGATTCACTTTTTTTTGAAACGTAAAACCTTAAATTGAGTTATAAACTCAAAATTTTAAAATTATAAAAATCCTAATCTATCTGTCCTAATTCACTAATAACTTTACGTAAAAATTCTAAATTTAGTAAAATCTATTTTGTTAGTAACTAAGACTCAGAGAGACCTTTCCAATAATACTTTTTTTTAAAATAATTTCAAGCAAATATACTCATCCAAACACTTATTTTAATTGATCCCTTGAATCTTGTTAAATAGAGACAAAGTGATCTAATATTTCTACATTAAATTACTTATAACTTTATGTGAAAAATTTCAATTTATATAAAATTTACTTTATTAAAATTAGACTTATACATTTTTCTATTAACATCTTATTTTAATGATTCAAATAGAAAATGCCCATTCAAATTCTTGTTTCAATTGATCATTTGAATTTTACTAAGCAAAGACAAAGTGACCCTACAAATTCAAATAAAAAATGCCCATTTATTTTATTAAAAATTAAACTCCCATACCTATCTAACAACTTCTTATTTGAAAATTTTAGTGTATAATTATTAATCCAGATATCTACTACAACTGACCCTACAAATTCTGTTAGCATGAGTTGTTCTCAAATTTACATATTTCTTGGACAACCTCAATTTATATAAAATTTATTTTATTGGAAATTAACCTTATATATCTTTTTATCAACATCTTATTTAAATTATTCAAATAAAAATATGCCCATCAAATGCTTATTTCAGAATTCTGCTAAGTCTTTAAAGTGATTTGACCTATCCAAAATAAATTATTTATAACTTTTTAAAGACTAAAGGCATCTATGGATACCCTTTGCAACCCTCTCCTGATGGGTCAATGATAAGATAATAAACAGGGATGAGGGTTGAGATGTGGGGTATTTTTTTAATTACTCATATGGTTATAGAAGGAGGATTGATAGAGCACTTTCCATCTTATTCTAGTATTCATCCATATCCTATCAATATGTCGGTTAAGACGTTAGGAGATTCAAACTAGATCAAGTTGAGTCTTGGTTGAATTGATTATGAATCATTTGATTCGATTAAACTAGATAAAAAT